GCAGTCTGTGATCTGCTTGTATAAATGAATCGGGTTAAATGTTTAGCTGATTTATTGCAGAGGCAAAGCAAACCATCTTCTATAAACATTCCAAGGATACAGTGATAGAAATTAGACCTGACCGTGCCAGAGGCTTGAGATGAGACACAGTCGTGCACACATGCAGGAACATCACTGAACCTCAGAAGAACTATGTTTGACACTAGCACAGTCAGTGAAGCACCATCACTTGAGTGGACCTCAGGGTGTGCAAGTCGGTGCAAAGTCGTCTGAAAGAGTCAGAATTGAATGTAATGTTTCCTCTTTTGTTTACCAAGCACACAGTAAAAACAAAAAAACAGTTTAAGCCAGGGAAAGAAATAATTTTGACCCATGCACCTGTATTTTATTTATTTTTTTTTTTTTATCGTATATTCGCTTTTGGTTCTCTTTTTCTTCTGCATGCCGACATCAGTAAACCTCAGTATTCATAGCGCAACCTAGTTTTCACTGTACTGTAGTTGGAATTTGGGCAGAGTTCCAGAATTTAGTTTAGGTGAAAAACACCTCTAACCTTGTTTTAGTCTGAGCGATCCAGCTGTTTTTTCATGATTACAAATCAGAAGAAAAGAAAGTCAGACTTTTCAAATTATTTCAGCAAGATATGGAGCAAACATTCATTGTACAAAAGTTGGCATGAAGAGTAAACATAATGTCAATGCCAAAGGTGAGGGTTCTAGTGCATATATTTGAATGGATTTCGACTGCTGTGTGGAAAAACAAAATTAAGCTAATGGAGTGCTTCCATCTTTCAGTAGGCCTCACAGTTGTGCTATGGCCAATGATGTCACTCAAATCCTAAAGTACATTTGGAAGTGACACTTAATTTAAATATAAAAGGACACAGATCAACATGGAATCCCACTCACACACAGTGTTGCTTCCTATTAGCAGAAGCTGCCTGTGTGGGAGTAGAAAGTACTTTAACAAAGGACAAAATGCTACTCATTTTGCCAGTAGAGCACCTGCTCCATCTTCTGTTCTCCTGTGTACCATCCAAGGTCACTGCACTTGAGAAGTGCTCTAGAAGAACCAAAATGTAATCATCATAAAATTGGTAAAAGAAAAGACCGTAACTTCCTTACTTTTTGTCATCATATTATGTTTTCAGGTGTTGGACTGAACTCAAAGTTGTTTTCTAGGAATAGAAATGCTTTGTGCATTAATTTAATTTAACTTTCTATATGCCTTCTCCAGTGTGGGTCTTAACTTTTTGCCTCATCATCTTTGAAGTAATCCAGAGTGGTTAACAGCTTTACCTTTGGCTAACCCATCTTATTGAATAGAAACATAAAAACATTTTAACTAAATGGCGTCCTTAGTTTACATTATCCTCAGCCTACTGTTTCATGGTAATGTCAGCATCCTCCATAAATTTATTAAGAAGGTCTTATTCCATCATTCCGATGTACACCGGGTAAAACTAAACTAAAGTAATCTCAGCTAATGCTGCATGTTCCTGCTACGAACAGCACCACTAACCACCTTCCTTTAAGGTGTTCCTAATGGCACTGTAGCATCCTTTGATTGATGCAAAAAATATCCAGTACATAATGATGGAAAAATTACACAAAGACAAAAAAGTATCCACTGCAGTACTTCAACAGGGTACAATAGAATCCCTGACAATGGATAGTGTAGAACTGAAAAAGTCTCTTGGATGAGAGATGAAACATCTTCAAGAAACCTACTCCGTCCAGTTACCCTCGATGTAACTGTTTTTTGGTAGTTTATTGTTTATTTTTTGGGAACTTTTTGATAGAGTTGGTAGAGAATTCCCAGTCTTCCTCATATATCCGACAATAAAAGATTTAACATATTTAATTTGTACATATTTGGCTCAATTAGATGTGCAGCACACACTTGGTTTACTGTGAATTTGACATTCCTCGTGGCCACAGCACCATATGTGGAGCTGCTCACTTAACACATGCATGGCTGGCTTCCATCATTAGTGAGTAATTTCAACAGAACAATCGGGCTGTGTAGTTTAGGGCAATTTCTCTTTCACTCTTTCTATGCGGCTGTTTTGCAGGGTTTTAAAGTATACAAGAATATATTGGAAACATTAGGCGGTTTTAATTTATTCACAACGTGAAACAATGTGATGTAATGTATCATATTATTATCCATTAATATAATAATAATCTATTCAGCACCAAGACTAGTAATATTACAATTGTCAAAAAGGTTTTATTGAAAATGTGTCATAAACAGTAGTCAGACTCCTTTTAGGCTTTACTCATCTAAGCTAAACATGTTAATGTATTAACTGGCCTTCAGTAATTTGCTAGTATTTAGCTATTTACTATTACTATTTACTCAATGGTTTTAAAATGAAAATGAAATGATACAATGAAAAATAATCTGAGAAAGAATGCTAGCTGCTAGCTAACAAAAAGACAGCCAACAGATTTCTATTAATTTATATATAATTATTATACATTTTTCACAACGGACAAAATGGTATTAATAGGTTTGTTTTCCTCGCTAGCTAGCGAAAGGCAGAAGATAATAAAATGATTAATTCATTCTTAATATAATCTTTTTTAAGTTTCAGTTTGTTTGTTTTTTAACGAATGTATCAAGCATTTACAGCGTGTTTGACCGTCAAATGTTTTTGTGTTCAGACAAAGGCGTGTTTTTCTCTTTAAATTCAGTATAACCAGAGAACATCTGTTCTGAAGTTGTTTGTCTCATGACATCGTCCTTGCAAAAGGGCATATGCTGTTCTGCAGGCCACTGGCGCCCCTAAGTGGACAAAGTGCATTCTAATAAAGGTTCAACAAGACATTTAGTCTGGTTGTGTTTCGTCATTCATTATTAATAGAATAGGCTTCAATCAATTAAAAAGCAATAAAAAGTCCAATAATTACTCCTAGACTTACTCAACGCTACCTGCAATTTCCTTTAAAAAATAAACAGCTAATCTTTATTCATGACTCATAAAACAGGACTTCTTTTTTAATTCAGTAGCAGCAGCACATTTGCATACTGCGGTAAACAGCAAAGTTCACCTTGGTTGATTTTTACAAACAACTGCTCCTCAGAGGAACTGCCAGTCATGAGGTGTAGAAGTGGAACAACGAAACATCTACTGCCTTAATAAACCATGTTGTTTGTCTCGCAGGAGCAATTATTATGACATTGTCAAGGTGTGGTATAGAAATGTAGAATATTTATGATTTACCCCCCTCCTCCCCTTCCCCCCCTATGTAGAAAAGGAAAGTGAACTCCTTGTCATTGTGACACAGCTCACCACTGCACACAACCAAATGTGACCTCTGCTTTTGACCCATCACCAAAGTGAACAGTGGGCAGCTTTAAGGACCAGGGAGCAGTGTGTGGGGACTGTGCCATGGTCAGATCACCTCAGTGGTAACTTGGCAGCTGGTCAAATCTGAAGCCTTCCAGACCCAAGTCTGCTTCCTTAATCACTAAGCCACCACTGCCCCCATGTAGCTGAAAGGATTCAAACTACAGCACGATTCAGGCTCTTTAAAAATGCCTTACTGGCCTATTGTAAAAACAGTGTTGTTTCATCTGTTTGCTATGAATATGGAAGATACAGTCAAGCTAAACAGTGGTGCAAAATGAATTAAAAAAATTCTGAAAACAACATTGAGTATTAAAAATGCTTGTTTCTCTCTAGCATAGAGGTTGATGGGTCTGCCAACAATCAATCAGTAGGTGGAGTTGTTTCCTTGATACTAAAGGTCTGTGGGCCACATATGACATCTACGTAACCTCAGAGTGGTCGATCTGTGGTCATATGAGAAATGTGAAGAAAATAAATTGAAAAAGTAACAATTGGCTAGTTAAAAGTATATTCTGCAGTAAACAGAGCTGATAATTCAACACTCTCCAACCTGATACAGATAGATAGATAGAGATACCTATTAACCTGTAACATGTCTCTGACAGGAAAAATGTCAAGTTATCAAGTATCAAGTTACCCACTGAACTTGTTACTTAAAAAAAGACAGAGTTTACACTTGGATCTAAATTAAATTGTAATTGTTTTACATTTTATTTAAAAAACAATGAAAAAAGAAAGGTCATGTAGTGTTCAACAAAAATAATATAAAATGTAGATATTATTGTCTTATTATGCATGAACATATTGCATAAGGTTTTATTAGCCAAAAAGTTTGGTGCACGGGAACTCACTCCCTTTAGTACCTCATTCCAGTCACCAAACACTTAAAAAAGTTGTTGAACTAAAGAGAGAACCTGTGATGAGTTTTTGTAAAATATTTCATATTTAGTTTTTATGAGAATGACATTTTGAGCTGAAGTACACTTTAAGTTCTGTATATGATGTCAATTAAAAATCGTAAATGTCAAAATTCAGTATTAGCAAGTCACATTTACCAAAAATGGATGAAAAAATTGGAATTAGTGCAACTCTAGTTGCTATTTTTGATGAACTTTTTGATTGACTGTTTCCATCCTGTCGACTGGATATGTCCTTTAGCCTCAGCACTGTGTTTCATCCTTATTTACCGAGTATATCTTTTGTCATTTTGGTCCTTTCAACCACCGAGGTAGTTTTGGAGGTTAAACATCAGTGGTTTAGTAAGTTTAACATTCAAACCATTCTTCTTCTTTTTTTTTGCACCAACAACCAGGTCATGTTAAAAGTCACTGAAATAACCTCCCATGCCTTTTCTGATTGGCACAGTCGTAATCTCCATAATCTGTCAGATCACCGACCCCTGCTCTCCTGTATGAACTCCAGACTCTATAAACCTTAAGTGATTTCACATTCATTATTCATTTGGATCCTCTGAAATGCTGTCTCCTCCCTCCGCCCCCGTTTGCCTCTTCTTTCCCTGTCTGTCTCCTTCACTATCTCTGCTGCACCCCTCCCCTCTCCGCCCCCCACCCTCCTCTCCTTGTCTCTCTCTTTCTCTCTCTTTCTCTCTCTCTCTCTCTCTCTCTCTCTCTTTAACTGAAAGCGGAGGCAGTGCTGTCCAAACCCAGTCTCCAGTTGAGTGCTGACGCACAACAGATCCACGATCCCCAGATTCCGACAACCTGTGGCTGCAGGATTCCATCATCCATCCTCGTCCAGTCTCTTCTTATGGAAACCCACGCTCGGGAGCCGACAATCGTCGCTTCATTCTCACTGATCTGAATCCGCGAAAACCACCTGTCCCACATTTTTTGAACGCAACTTAACAATGAATGGTCTAGGAGATGAAGGTGAAGCGGTGACCCTGCAGGAATTAAAGTGAGTCACCGGAGGAAAGAGTAGACAAGAGGGGAAAGCGGAGGAAGAGGAGAAAGAGGAGGCGCGGACGACCCAGAGAAGGTGTTCGAAGGTGCGCGCCGGAGATGGAGAGGGTAGTGACCGCGATTCTTCACCTGGACCCCGGGCTGTTGCTGCTGCTGGTGTTTCTGGCCTGTAGTCACACACCACAGATGGTCAAAGCAAGTGAGTGTCTGCTGCTAAAGCCTCCAACACAACACTGTCTTTTACTGGTTTTAAAGCGAAAGCTGTTTGAGTTTTTCCTCTAGCTGACAACGCTGAAGTATTTGTCTTATTGAGCTCATCATTTCCTGAAAATGTAGACGTGATTTAAACAGGTGCTCCGGAAAAAAAGTCACAATTCTTCCTGTTATATTAGAGGCACTCAGAACTGACTAGTGGATGTCGTATCTGTAACAGTTATCTTAGTTTTACTTAATTAGAGTAAAATAATAAGTTACGTAGAATTTTATCCCAGGACTCTCCTGGGTCATACTTTATATTTTACCTTTTAGTAAGTAATCTCAGATGTATAGGGAAAAATGTAAATTAATTTGAATAAAATATTATATATAATATATAATAAGTTGAAAAAATTTAATTGGGAATTATAAAGAAAAAGAGGAAGAATTCCATTTCACTTTCAGGTCAACAATATTGTGACATTTTATTATCTTTTTTGTAATGTAATATAATTTTTGTCAACCTTTCATTTTCAACTGTTGTTATTTTAGACAGCTTGAGAGATTTGCCATTTTGCGCTGCAAAGACAGGTTTTATCCGTCTTTTTCTTTGAAATGTGAGTGGAGAAGTAACAGGTCAGTGTTAGTCGTCAGTGATGATAAAACATGGGTTTTGACTGACATGGCTTTTGTGGCCTTGCTGATTTGATGTTGATGTTGTTCATTGTCGTGTCTTGTTAGGGGAGTGCTTCATGTTTCATTGAACTTGTAATGGCCTTTGAACACAAAAGACAAACAAATGAGGTTCCCCTGAATAAGTCAAATAACAGAGGTGTTTGTTTATCTTCTCTCTCTAAGACTTGATACCACAGTGGTTCAAGTCAATTGTTCACATGAACAGTCATCATTGTGAACATCATGGCCTTTTGCTTCATCATCGAGAGTGTTGGGAACATGACAGCAGCACTTATTTACATGAACATATTGCCCTGTCTGTTTGGTTTAGAGTGGGTCGGCCGCTGCTGTTTCGCGGTGCTGCATACATTTCAACAAGACAAACCGTGGCTATAAAACTGTCAGAGTCTTAATTGAGTGTCTATCAGGGGGATTAGAATTTCATAGCAATCTCCTGTTCACCACCCAGCCTCTTTAATTAGCTGTAGTGGCAGCTCAAGTCATCCCAACCTCTGATCACATGAGACTTTTACATAAGGTCTTTGTGTTTGACTGGCCTCAGGATTTCAAATCAGTGTGCCTCTCAGGTCTTTTGTATATACAGTAATGCATCTATTTGGCCAGTAAAATATAAAGTATTTATTATAAGTCAGCTCAAAGCATTATATAATTAAATTATTATCATGAATAAAAACACATCAGGTGGGGAGCAGGTATAACAAATTTGACTTGAGCTGTGGTGACTGGTCTCTGATTATCCTCTGGAGTAAGAGTCAACAGACGATGCATCTGGACTGGACTGCTGGTCAGCCCAGCACTTTGTCTGTGATTCCTCACATTTGCACAAAGTCCAATGCAGACCTGGTGTTTTCTTCTGGTCACTTTTATTATAAATTTACAAATTCACTGTTGTGTCTTGGTAAGGAGTACTTCATGTTGCATTGTATTTGTAACATCAACAGGCTTAGGTAGATCTGATTTAGTTTTAAATCTTTTATTAATCAGCATGCGATCAGGAGGTCTAGTAATATATATTTTTCAAATCACAGAAGTTAGAAAGCAAACAATATTTAAAGTGCCATAAAAGTTTATAAGCAGGCGAGAAGCAGAGGAAATGCTGGTTTGTTTTTGGGCAATTCATAATGCATGCAAAACACATTTTAGACATTTAAAAATTCAACACATTGCTGAGACGACAGTTATTTCCTGCACTGCAGAATCTGGTGTCTCACACCTCGGGGTGTGAGGCCTTTGAAGGAGTCTGGTGTTTATTTGGCTGGATTCGAAACCACAGTGAGGGAACAGGAATAGCTATTCTCTGTTAGCTCAGTGGAGTGAGGGTTTGTGGAAAAAAGGTATAATAAGGCATTTCTTCTGCGTGTAAACAATCTGGAGATGGTAACTGAGAAGACGTAGGGTTAAAATATCTCTTTGTCTGCTGTGATGACCCCAGTGTCCCCTACTGGACGCCAGGGTGTGTGGCTTTCCCTCTCAGCATCCTCTAGGTCCTGATCGGTGTAATGAACTGCACCTGGACACTGCCTACAAAATGGGTTCGGTTACTGGGCAGTTTTTCTCTGAGCCCCTCTCTGATGGTCGTTTCTTTGTTTTAGTTTCTGTTCTGTGGATTCTCTTTGGCTGACAACTGATTTCCACATTTCCGCTTCACTTCAGTTATTGTTAAATAAATTGTCACTTTTAACTTACTTCCATCTTGTTTCTCAATTTTGTCCCGGCTGAAGAGCTGAGCTGTGACAAATGCAGGCTCGTCCATTTGATAATACCAGTCAGATTTGTAAAGCACAGTGATTTTTGATAGCATGGCTAATTAAGCTGTCCTCTGATGGTGTGAGTTGAGACTGCTCTGCTTATTTTGGATGATGTGTAGCTGACTGTATGTGGCTAGAGAGATGGCTAAGATAAGCCTAGCTGCCGAAAAAAAATGACGCACATTTATGACTGTAAGGGCAAGGTTCACACACACATACTGAGAATATTTTAGCCAATACACATTACAGCACTTGATAGTCTCTCGAAGAATTCTCTAAACCGACTGTATTTTGTCACAATCCTTCACTGATCATTCAGTATGTGAAGCAGCAGGCACAGACTGTTGTACAGCACAGTATCTAGAGTACAGTGCGTGTTACAGTGGGTGTCATTCATCACACTAAGTGATAGGGATCCATTAGGCAGATTAGACCATCAGACTCTATCAGGAATCTGTTAACAATGCTGTAAATTACAGCCAGACTCCTCTACTCCAGCAGGAGCAGCCATATAAACAACGTTCCTGTTTGTTTAGGTTGTTGCTGTTGTTTCCAGACGTGCTGCACACAGCAGAACATGTTCAAACATTTGCAGACACGTTGTTTGAGTGACTTCCTGGTCCGCAGAATGAAGTGAACATCATGTTCAAAGATGAAACTGGTACCTTTGTGTCGAAATGCCAAAAAAACATCACAAATCTTCCTTGTGTTCTCATACCTACAATGTTTCTTTTACGGCTTTGTGCTGTAAAGAGGATTTGTGTTGCAGCCCCTTGTTTTCATTTGTTCACTGTGCAGCCTTTTCTATAAAAATAACATGTGACACTGGTTCACTCACGGAGGAATGCGTTTCATATTCATAGGAAGTAAAACATTATGTTAGTAACCTGTTGTTATTATTAATCTTTTCAGATATTTGTTTTGGACTTCCTAGACTTTTCAAGACTAGTCTTTTAGCTGATTTTGCTCTCTTTGGTTAATGATTGGCTTTTATTTAAGGCAGTATAGCTAGTTTTGAGTGATTGAATTTGGGTAAATTCACTACTAACGGAATCTTTCGTCTAAGTTTGAGCTAAAACCTGTGGCTGCTTCATTAATACACAAGCTACAACATAAATGGCTGAAGTTGTTTGCAAGATATGTTACCTTAGGCTGTTGTTGGGGTCTTTACTTAACTTAATTAAATCTAAGTAAACTTCTCTCTCTCTATATATATATATACTACTCTCTTTTCTCTATATATATTATATATATATATTTTATCTATATAGATATACTACATGTACACTCCTACGTAACACCTCATCTCCCGTTCTCCCATAAAGGCTAAGTGTAAAAGAAAATAACGTAACGCTTAAAAACAAACGGAGGAAAAAAGACAGAGATACAGTATGTTCTTGTAAGCTGCTCCACCTCAGTTTTGGTTTTAAAGTCTTATTTGCAGGTTAGAACGAGCGCATCGACATGGATGAAGCCTTGCCCGGTGTCACCTGACGTAGCTATCGCCCGCACTTTTCATGTCTTTTATTGACAATATGAGGCTTTTTCATGTTAACTGCTAATTAATGTAAAGGTGCTGACTTGGGCTAACAGGGATTGGGTCCCGTTGCTAAAAAGACGTTTACTGCGGTTTTGGGGAAAAACAGCTACATATATTAGTATTAATTAATATCGGAATCAGATATTAAGTTTGGACAATACTGACATATCAGCAAAAATTATCTTGGACATTGTGTACTGAACAGTTTGGTACAAATACACACACTATTACAGTCCTTATAGATAATCTATGAACAGTGGTTCTCAAACTGTGGTACGCGTACCACCGGTGGTACGCTGGGAAAATTCATATTTTCACGTTTACATTTTCAGTTGAATAAATCTGAAACATACCATGCACAATTAATACAACCTTACATAACAACATAAACATCTGTCTAAACATTTCTAAACATCTCTCCTGTGTGGTGGAAGCTAACAGTGAAGGCCTCTGCTGCTTTATGCTAATGATGGTCATCATGGTGGTACTCAGAGAGATCAGTGTTTTCTCAGGTGGTACAGAGTAGAAAAAGTTGGAGAACCACTGGTATAGAATAAGTCCTAACAAAGTCTTTCAGATGTCTCAGAAAGTGTCTTAGTGAAAAGTACACTATATTACCAAAGTTCTATTATAACAAAATGGAAGCGTTTGGGAACAACAGCAACTCAGCCACGAAGTGGTAGGCCACGTAAAGTGACGGAGAGGGGTCAGCGGATGCTGAAGCCCCTAGTGCAAAGAGGTCGCCGACTTTCTGCACAGTCAACTGCTACAGAGCTACAAACTTCGTGTGACCTTCAGATTAGCCCAAGTACAGTACGCAGAGAGCTTCATGGAATGGGTTTCCATGGCCGAGCAGCTGCAGCCAAGCCACACATCACCAAGTGCAATGCAAAGTGTCGGATGCAATGGTGTAAAGCACGCCGCCACTGGCCTCTAGAGCAGTGGAGACGCGTTCTCTGGAGTGATGAATCACGCTTTTCCATCTGGCAATCTGATGGACGAGTCTGGGTTTGGAGGTTGCCAGGAGAACGGTACATTTCAGACTGCATTGTGCCGACTGTGAAATTTGGTGGAGGAGGAATTATGGTGTGGGGTTGTTTTTCAGGAGCTGGGCTTGGCCCCTTAGTTCCAGTGAAAGGAACTTTGAATGCTTCAGGATACCAAAACATTTTGGACAATTCCATGCTCCCAACCTTGTGGGAACAGTTTGGAGCGGGCCCCTTCCTCTTCCAACATGACTGTGCACCAGTGCACAAAGCAAGGTCCATAAAGACATGGATGACAGAGTCTGGTGTGGATGAACTTGACTGGCCTGCACAGAGTCCTGACCTGAACCCGATAGAACACCTTTGGGATGAATTAGAGCGGAGACTGAGAGCCAGGCCTTCTCGACCAACATCAGTGTGTGACCTCACCAATGCGCTTTTGGAAGAATGGTCAAAAATTCCTATAAACACTCTCCTCAACCTTGTGGACAGTCTTCCCAGAAGAGTTGAAGCTGTAATAGCTGCAAAAGGTGGACCGACATCATATTGAACTCTGGGTTAGGAATGGGATGGCACTTCAGTTCATAGTATGAGTCAAGGCAGGTGAGCCAATACTTTTGGTAATATAGTGTATATAAAAGGTGTATGTACTACACCTGAAGGATAGACAAGGACATGTGGAGGCCGCAGGTCTGTCCCTTAACGTCCACCTTAAGCCACTATATTTCATCAGTTGATCAATATCTACCCTCCACTGCTGCTCCTACCCTCAGATTCCCCTTCACCTTGTCTCCATCACTCCTTTCTGACCGTGCCCTCCATCATTGATCTCTCTCTCCTGCTTTTTTTACATTCATCTAACTTAGCCCGTTGTCCATCTTTTTCTCCAAACCAAAGATGATTGAATACACACTCGTACTCCCTCGAGTCCTTAGGAGAAAATTGTTTTTCTGTTCTTGTTCTTGTCATTTTTTACACCTCCTCTGTTACATTTTCTCCTCCTCCTTCTCTGCATTTGTCCTTAGCTCGTGTCCATGCCACACTGTTCGTCTCTTATCTGTTGTCCTTACACTTTTAATGCAACCACACAGGTCTGCTCTGTGGAGGGACTCCTGTGAGACCCTGGCAGATTAAAACACTCGTGTTTTTAGAAGCCGTAACTCGGCAGGAATCGAGAGAGACAAAGTAACATTTGCCAGAGACGTGGGAAACGTGATTTCTCCTCCATTGACGGTGTTTGTCTAGGTGTAGGATGGGACTTGTGTTTATTTTTTCTCTGATGTATGAATTGTCCTCTGCGCTCTTCCTGATGGATTTGGTGACAACACTATCACAGAAAGGCACGTGATGTATAAAAATACATTTCGGGGGCGGATTTAAAACCGTTACAGCGGTTTTGGGCCAGTGCACAAAACCATTTTTACTCTTCTGGTTAGTTTGTAAGATAGAAGGACAGCTAGGGTTGAGCAGATTGAGCTGAAGCTGGAAGAAAGAGTAAAAATGTGCTGAAGAAAGATAACGACTCACAAATACTGTCTCCAGGAATAGCTCTCCAGTTTCTGAAAGGAAGCACATGCATTTAAGTTAGTAAGATTATCTCATTTCAATTATTTAATTATAATTTAATTGCACAAAACACATGTTATTTGTTGGGTTTTTTTTCATAGATTTTTGCTAAAATTTGGGAATATTTCAGTTGTAAATCCTGGATGAACAGAAAATAAGACTTAAGCAGCATCTGTTAAAATGCACCTGGCAAGAGAGAGAAAAGTTGTAAAATGAGTAGAAGTGTCCTCAGGTCTAGATAGAAAATCATTGGTCAAGGGTCTTCTGGACTGAACTGTTGGAGTCACCAGCGATATGTCTTGATGCCAGGGTACAGGGGTGAAATGTAACTGTTTGGCGTCTTAAGGAAAACAAAAAGGACACTCTGTACTGGCTTGTGGCTGCATTTTACTCAGAAGGTGAGAGGTGAAAAAAACAGAGATGGATGTCGTGTCTAAACCTGAACCGTAGGTCTTAGAAAATGCTGCAGAAGTCATTAGAACAACCAGGTACATTTGTTTTATCTCTGCAGCACAACACGGCAGACAGTAGAGTAGTAAACGGCAGCCATAAAAGATGATGGTGTTTTTATATTTAAATTAGATTTTTCAGGGATTGGTGTTAGATTGAATGACATTGTGTTGTGTGTTGGATAAAGATGTAGTAGTTAACATTTTTAACTTAACTAATTCCACTAAACTTGGTCACAACTGATCCCTAGACCTAGTTTGTGAATCCCTGTATGGGTTAGTCGGCCAACTCTGATTATTGTTGGTCATCCTCCTCCATAACACCCACTGCTGCAATCCATTAATTTTTTTAATGATCCATTAACAAAAAGACTTATTGAGAAATGCAGCAATGTTAATTCAATAGTTTTTCCATGACCCTGCCGAGGCTCCAACGCCCACAAAGTGAGAAAACAGACTTGAGTGCAGCTGCCGCATGAAGGGACATGATGGTGGTGACATTTTCACAACATAAATAAAGAAACACGGTTCTTATTCTGGCTCAGCCCCTGCTGCCTACTGTTCCAGACAGCAACAGGTTTAGAAACTTATGTCGTTAGCTGTCAGATAGAATTCTGGGAAACAGAGCAGCTCACGGAGTGCTGCTGCTGTCATACTGCATGAAGGCTGGAGAGAGGGTGTGGATTATTCCACTCTGGTTTCCAGTACCGCTCCTGCAGGGAACTGGTGGAAATGGAGCTCACCCAATGAGCTGTGGTTGGTTTGACATTCATACTCCACAGAACACATCTATGTCCTTCTGCTTTGGAAATTGAAATTAAATTATATTTTTATTGATTTGATTGTAAAATTTTAAGGAATTTTATAAATAAAAATCTGTAATATGACTGAATTATTCAGCCATTTATAGTAATTAGTTAGCTATAGTTATTTATTGTTATTCTTAGCCAATTGATTTGTTACATTTGTCTAACTTAATATTTTTTGCGGCTAACTTTAACAAAGTTTTGCTCCATTAATTTGTTTGATTTAGGTTCACATCTTAACAACCATTGCTTTAAGCTTGCACTACACTACATTTTTTTTCATCTATTGCATTTTTTCTCTATATTTGATGTTAATGCAAATGCTAAATGCTTCCTGTTCATCCCTAAATGCACACATGCACTTAAAATGATTAATTTAATCAGTTTTTTAATCAAATGAAAAGCTACCATTTTTAATTGAATTTCCCCCCTTTTTTCATATAAATAATATAAAGTGCTGTATAGCTGCTGCCTGTAATTATCCACAGTGCATAACAGCAGCATTGCTATGTTGTCTCCTGGCCTCTGTGTCCTGATTTACTGCCACTCTGCTGCATGTCTTTAACTACACATGTAAAAAATAACAGCCTCCATGCCCCTGCAGTGGCTTCATATTAATTGATTTCTTTAGTCAGATGTAATGAGAACTGTTGTGGGGTGGGGGTCAGAGAGGAGGTCTTCACGACAAGCCATAAATGAGCAGAGAAAAAATTGATTGTTTGGAGTGTTCTCATCAATAACTGCTGACTGGCTGTAAAATTCCAGTTACAGAATCTGTTTGATGTTACATCACCACCAGAGGGCGGAGCCTCGGTTATTTTATTAATCCCTTCTACCTGGTCTTACTTATCTTCTTTGTTGTGTGTGTGTGTGTGTGTGTGGGTGTGTGTGTGTGTGTGTGTGTATGTATGTGTGTGTGTGTTTTAAACAGCTGTGCCAGCGGCCCCTGTGAATATATCAGTGACCCAGCTGAGGGCACACTCGGCCATGGTGACCTGGAACGTACCACTGGGTGATACTGTCATTGGCTACGCCATCTCACAACAGGTATAGTACAGTTTGTGTATGTGTGTGTGGTGTGTGTGAGAGAGAGAGACAGAGAGAGACTACTTAGATTTGATTATTGACACACAATAAAGACTGTATTTATAGGATGGATATGCTCTGTGAGTAGAGATGTATCTTTAGCTGCAGTACCAGTGCTGATCAGCAGGGGCCTGACTACCAAAACTTCCTTCATGAACTGGTCAGTAAATACTTCTGTTAACATTTTGGTCCACATTTCTAGATCTAATCCCTCCAGTAATTATAACAAGAGAGTGCTGTCCATACACAACTTCAACTTTTACTGGTTACCAGTAGGTAAGAAATAGGTTGATCTGATCCTAAAGTATTTTTTTCTTGTTCTTTAAAAACAGTGACATTTGACTGGGCCTGAATTAACTTTTGTTTTTGCCTGAAAAATAGACACACACTGCCTCATTAAATTCAATAAACATAAACACACATCGCCTAACCTGATCTAACCTGTTCCTCCATCTGGCTTATTGCTGTATTTGCATAAGAAAGCAATATTGTAAATCTGAAATGTGTTTTTTTCTTTCTGTTCTTCAAATGTCTTTGTGTTTCTCAAAAAAAAAAATATATATAATTTTTCTTTCCAAGTTTTCCTCCACCTCCTGTTTTCTTTTTAAAATGCTGCAGCAGTCACTAAGCCTTTTGACATTCAGCTGTAATCCCCTCTTTGCTGTTTGTATGTGACACTTCCCCAAAAAAAGTGTGGAAATGACAGATAATTATGTGCATGGGTAGAAAAACTGAAGTAACACATATTTGTTATTACAAAAACTTTAGACAATGCAGACACACATCAACCATGACAAGGTCAGTAGGTCACTATAAGTTTGGGAGAAAATTGGATTTTAGAGAAATTTTGTTCCCTGCATGAATGAAAGCTTTTAGACAGCCTTTTAGGATATTGCCAATTTTCTCTCCAGCGCTGCTTTTCTGCAAAGTATAGAGGAGTACACACACACACACACACTCATCCACTCACTCACTCATGGTAATTTGATCTGGTTCGGTACAGTACAGTATGGTATGGTATGTCTGTGTAGGTTCTCAGTCATCCAGGTCCTCTTGTCCAAAGTAGTTACCTCAAGGACAACTGGACTGGTAGGTTAAATCCTCTTCCTCTGTTGAGTGATGGTTTCTCGACACAGATGGCCTCTTCACTCCTCTTTCTAAACATCTGCCTTCTCTGTCTATCTTCCTTTGAATCTACCTTCTTTTGAAGATGTAGATGAACCGCTGAGTCCAGGTCTGTTGAACTGGCTCTCCTGTGCTGTTGCATGTGTTTGAACAGTGACTGTTTGGTTTCCTTGATGTAGAGGTCAGAGTTCAGTCCTCACTACACTGTAGGGTATAAACCACATTGCTGCTTTGGAAGAACAAGGTTTTGGAGTAAAGTAGACAGGGATTTAATTTTTTTGTCCAAGACCTAACTACTGTTGATACAGTGCAGTATGTAACAGTATGTTATGATTAGGATCAGTGTAGGATCATGTTTATCCCTTTGGAGAAAGGATTCTCTGTATAAACCCCCACTTTGAAAGTGATGAAGACTGGACAGACATTAGCAGGGGTCTGTAACACATCCCAGTCCTGACACTACTCAAATCCTTCCAGTTCGAACACTAAAACTGATGAGCGTCTGGGACAAAATAAAAACAAAGCAGCTTTTGCGTGGGGGAGTAAAGATCCATTTACTGCTGTCTGCAGCCCCAGTTTAAACTCCCAGTAATAATAATTAACTGTGACTTCTCAATTGCTGTATATGCATTAAAGATCATCCAATAAGGCTTTTCTGATCAAAATGTAATCTTGTTTTTCATATGGGCCGTGGGCTACATCACCCTGAAGGATGTCTCACATTAATTCTGATGTTTATTTTTTGCAGTGTTGCATTTTCTTGTCTCATCATTTCAAGGAGCCAAGGCTGCAAACTCAGCTCGACCCATTCTAATCAGTAATTTACCCACACTTTGGCAGCCGGACAGACAGACAGTAGCTAAGCTCTAAGTGGGAGGTGTCTCCATTAGTGGAAATGATTTGGCCACAGACCCAACGTACAGCACGACAACCCACTTTTGGTATCATTGCCAAGTAAGTAAGGTCCAAGAAATCCATCAATCTTTGCACATTTCTTGGAAAAAAGAGCATCTTCAGTTTGTTGGTTAAAATTGTATGATCTACTTCTGTAACCTCAGAAAGCAGTTATGTTAAAGTCTTGTTGAAATATTCATAGCAGAGCAGATGGGAGCAGGTAGATGCAGGAGCTTTTATCTCCTGAACTTTTCTTTATGTCAAAATGGAATTTGGATGACAGTTAAAAAAAAAAAAAAGGAACGTAAAAAAAGTGCGTCATTACTGTGTTTGTTGTCTGGAACTGAGAGATTATTTCATGTACAGAATCCTTTAGTACCAATAGACAACTGTATCCTGTTTGTGGAGGAGGAACAAAAAAGATTGGCGAACATTTTGAAAGGTTTTCCAACTCTCACGTCATCTGTTGCCAGGTTTCAGCCATTATGCAGCACTTCACGAATCAACAGAGGAGAGAAACCCACTGTGATGTTTATTATATTAAACCCAAGAACAAGAATCCTTGTTACATTTACCAAAAACCAAGAATCTATATTCAGATTTGAAGATAAATTATTTACAGTGAGTGTAAAACTCTGTTCATGCTGCGGTTTTTCCTCTTCTCTTAGTGTGTAATAGAACACTCATGTACTCAGAACATCCATTTCTGTGACATTCACTGATACCACAATGGTTCAGTTCATAACAGATGAGTCTCAGTCAAATTTAAAAAAGTGAACTCCTTTCTTTACTTGTTATTTATTCTCTGAACCACAGATGGCCTTTTTTTAAGCTAACTAATCCTTTCTAGGTAATCCTGGTATTTTTCCTCCTCCCCTTGTTAACAGTAAATACAAAAAGACAACCTAGCCTACCTGCTTTAACTTCTCATGGGCAGAATTCATCAGTTTTACACAAACCCCTTTACTGGCAAGACAATTGAATCAAATAAACTTTCTGTTTCAAAACTCTTTTTTTCTATGCCCTCCACCAGACAACCAATTAGCCACAACAATGATCCTCCGCTCCTCTTGTTCCTAGTATTCTTCTCGAGGATCCTCTTGATCACTTTTATCCTGTTCCTCCCACCACTTTTATGACTTCAGTCTCATATAACTGAATGGAACATCTACAAATCAGAGAATATTCAGCAAAAAGAAATCCAGAACTATTTCTTTAACAAAAAAAGAAAAACAGCACATGTTTGCTAAACGAAAGATAAAAAGTATATTTACCTGAAGTTCTGGAATTATGGAGTTCTAGAATACAGTAGGTCAGGTGGGTGTGAGTTAAAACCTTCAAATTATGTACTTAAAATATGGGGTACAGACAAATAAGTATTCATATATAATAAAATAACAAGTATTTAAAAATACTGAGCATCAGAACCTATGTCACTCACATACTCTAACACAGTGGTAACATCCTAATCTAGGACAAGAAAACATCAGTTGAGGCTGACTTGTGCCTGGGAGCCATGATGAAGAGGAAGAAGTTCCGACCCAAAAAAAAACAACAAAAATGAAAGAAAACAAATGAAGCACAATCCAGGGTATGGCGTACAACTGCTCGCCAACTAATTCTCATGCAGAATTTGTTTTGACGGCGTATGTCGCAATGATGGAGCAAGAGTTTGACAACGTTTTTTAAAATACATAAACATACATACGTATATTTACAGCAAGTGCAGGTTTGACAGTGGTATATTGGTGTTTGAGCATTAATTAAGCAGTGTGCCAGCTTATGAGAAAAACAGTCTTTGTACCTTGTGGTTCTGTAGCACCTATCGCCTGGAACAGCAGGTGACCTGGGTGTGGTGGTTACAGAGATGTTACCTTCTCTCTTTTGCAGAAATATGTATTTATAGGAAAAAAGGATAGCAAAAGAGCTAGCCGTAAGGATTTAGTGCATTAGAAACTGTTATTCTCCTATATACATAAGCTAAATGGTTTGATCAGACAGGGCCATGTTTCAGCTCGCTTTTAGGGCAAATAAATTCAGCTCTGTACAGTAGAGCGACGTCACCAGTAAAACACTGCACTGCTGACGTCAGATCAGCCCTTTGTTGCTGACCACACCTCGTTTCTGGACCAACAAGTGCATTTATGATTACACACTCTCATTGGCAGGAAAGTCAAAAATGAAAAAGTGTTGATCTGTCACTAAAAAAGAGACTTGCGCAGCACTTGGCTTCACACTGGACCCATTAACTTAAAAGGTTATGATGTGTCGCTGATGCCGCTCTATTCTGCTCGTCTCCAATTGCCAAAAAGACAAGAAAAAGTAATTATTAACGTCCTGTTTGGGTTTAGGGTTAGCCATCAGGAGAGCGTTGATGCATGTGAGTTACAATAGTCTTATTTCTACAGTTTTTTATTATCCACCGTCAAACGCCAGGGCTTGGTTTTGGTCAGACTGCTGTACCGTCTCCTCCACAGGTCTGCTGATTCACTGTAGATCAGCACGTCGATTCTTTGACCACTGCTGTGGTCAAAGACTTCTTATTCTGTTTATTGCTTTGATATTTGGAGATGATTTTTAACTTATTGGCACCAGGAGGGCAGTTCTCCTGCCAGCACTCTGGATCTAGTTCTTCTAAGCAGAGGTTGGCTGTGTTACCTTTCATGCAGACCTCATTTCCCCCAGTAGGGCAGTTCAGGGCGTCTGAGGTGAATTTATATGAGCTGAAGCAGCTTGTTAGAGCAGCGCTGAAATACAGCGGCTCTTTTACGTTCTCTGTTACAGCACAAACTGGTGCAATAATTAGAGTTGAATTTAAATGTGAGCCTGAGTTTGGCTGCTTTTTAAGACCAGTTTGAACACGTACTATGACAAACATATCCAAGCTCCGGGGCAGGGGATAAAATGTGGTACATGGACAGCTGACTCCTTATACGTATGTCGAGGTCTTGGGATGTTTTCAAGGGGACTTCTTTATGGTACCAAGTTATTGGTAAATATTTGGCTAAACTGTTTGCCTTATGTCTGTTAACTTTTATTTATTTTACATAGTTATTATTTTGCTAAATGTTGAGGGTTTAGCATTAAATGACTCTAATAATATTGATACAATTCTTTTCATTTAACCTATTTATATTTGTCTTTTACATTTTTTCTAAAAATGTTTTTTATTATTGATTTATTAATTATAATTTTTTTGGCATTAAAAAAGCTTACATTAAATAATAAACTAAACCTCAGGTTAAGTTTACGTTTTTTTTGTTACTAATAAAATAAAAAATAAAAATAAATAATCTCAGAAAAGTGATTAATTATGGTTCTGTTTCTCGGCCCAGGGTATTTTTCTTTGCTATGCTTTATTTACTCATGTTATGTTTCTGTGTAGTTTAGATTTTGTTCAGTTTTTTTAAACTAAAGTCATAGTTACATTTTGCTATTTTTTATTTATTTTTGGAACTCCTTTGTTTTAGTTTCTCATTGTGTTATCTACCGGAGGGAAACAGAGAATATTTGTATTGTACAAATCTATTTAAAACTGAGCAGTTTTTATTGAATTGTACTATGTGTTTCACTAGGGCCTTTAATGCACTAAATAAATTAAGTACTTTATAAAGAACTTCACTCTACATTCAAACATTTACCTCTTGGGTATTTTGACATCATTGATTTTGGGTCCCTTTTTAAATAGTCTGGAAACCTCTGGACTGCAGATCTATTTTGAATCGGTTCCACATCAGTACGGTACAGAAACAGTTCAGCTGTGTTGGTTTTGTTTGTCCAACGTCCAACCAACCTGTGTGTCCAGAGACAGGATGGCCTGATGCAACGCTCCATCAGAGAGGTCAATTCGTCGAGCCGCTGGTGTGTGCTGTGGGATCTGGATGAGAACACCCACTACAGCGTGCAGGTAAGGTACTGACACACAATCACCTTATAAACATAAACACACGTTTGTCAGTCGTCCTCTTTTAATGATATCTGAAAAAGGCAGCAGTTACCTCAGGACATTGGTTTCCAACACCTGCTGTGACGCCTCCCCTGTATTTTGTGTTGGGTGTTCATTCAGTTTGAGGACAGGTTTTTCTACAATTTAAAGCTAGCGATTTTCTTTTTATCCTTTAATCATTTGAGAACTTTGCTGTGGAAGTTTGTGGGAACCTGAGGGACCCTTAATTTAAAATAAAATAACATGTATAAAAGTCACAATATTATCATAAAAAACATAATAGACAGGTTAAAAAATGTCATGATTTTTCTTATTTTTTTTCACGTTTCAATATTTTTTGTCATCACGATTCTTTATCTTTACATGACTGGACTGTTAATCCAATTTCATATTTAATGTCATAATTTATCTCCAAATGTCTGACTTTTATTTTTACTTGATTTTTCCAACTTTTCACTTCACCATTGTGATAATTCATATTTCAAATATTATTGGATCTATTGATGTTCAGATTGGTTTACAGATTGTGTCTTTCATAAGCTTTTGTTTTTGCTCACTTGTTGACTCAGGTGCAGTCTGTTGGTCCCCAAGGTGACAGTCAGCCCAGTCATGCCATCCACTTTAGAACTCTGGAGAGGAGCGACCATTATCCGGCCGGAGTCCTGGATCACCGTAAATGGACACACATTAATATTTCTGTTGCTGTCTTTGAACAGACTTTGACAAAGTCTCCATCTCCCTGTCGTCATCAGATGAACCAGCGATGGAAGGCCTGGGTATGACCCCTCACCTGCAGACAGGAGAGCTGCTCATCATCACCACTGTGCTGCTGCTGTGGGCAGGTCTGACTGCATGTGTCTGTTCACACTGTGAGTGAAATGACATTTATTTAAGTAATATATTTCATATTACTTAAATAAATGTCATTTCACTCATATAAGTGGAAAATGCTCTGTGTAAAAGCTGAAATCTAAAAAGCATTGCATAGATAGATAGATAGATAGCACTTTATTAATCCCTAGGGGGTTGCCTTCAGGAGATTTACTTGGACCTAAGTACATGTTTTATGGCCCATCGTTAGAGTAAGAAAATCTGGTTCTCAGGAGCTTTTTAAAGGGCACTTTGGATGATTGACAGAGCAGCCTCAGCTCTGAACGGCTGTATTTATACCTTTACTGCACTACATTTTATTGCTTTTTAAAGAAATTGTGGGATTTTTTTATTAGTTAGAATGTACTGTAATTCATGCCAACAAAAATCTCCACAGTAGTCGGTGAATGGTCTGTCCTTACCATATGCTTTTCTAGTCCGGAATGTCCGTCAAAGCACTTCAACCTACAGGTTTCAGCTGCACTTCCCACCGAGCTACAGATTCGTCATTTAATTAAAATTTTATTTTCTTATTCGAAGTACCAGTATTTTTAGTTCTAAATTTTATTTAAATTTCTAAATATCTTAATAAACCTTTTGCTTTTTTCTTTTAACTTCAGCAAACTACTGTGTATATCATATCATAAAGGTAAATGCTGCATTGTCTGACGTACTTCTGTCCTCTTCTCCAGCCGTCATCGCCCTGTTCTGTCGACAGTATGACATCATAAAAGACAACGACTCCAACGGCACAAGAGAAAAAGCCAAGAGGCCTCTGGTCCACGCCACCTCCTCCTACTACAACCCATCACCGGGCCACTCGCCCATCTATCACAACGGGGCCGTGCGCAGCAGCAGGGTGACTCATTTCTTCTTCTTCCCCATTAAACTCTCAACTTTTATTTTCTCCGGTGCGTCAGGATTATTATTTTGTTTTCCTCTGAAGCGCCTTTTTGTAGATGCAGTCCGAGGGTCACCTAGCAACCGGAGCTGCTGCTGCCACTGCCTCCTCCATAGCTAAATATAAAACAGCTGAAAATGGAGAGCTGATGGCACATGTTTACTGCTGCGTCTGTTCAGTCGAAATGACTCACCAGGTTTTCTCTTCTTTATGGTGCCTTTAAGTCATGAAGAAGCATCACAACAGTCACTGCAGTCAGTGAACATTTGTGACAATACTACCACAAGTGATGACAGAGGCGCCTTTAACCATTTTGGTGCTGTTGACGAGATCCTCCTCCACACACAACCTCAAACATTAATGGCACTGACGGTCAGTCAGGGGAGTTATCATATCATACACCCACATCATACCAAAAAGGAAGATCTTTCTTTTTCTTTCCTGTCTTAACACAGATAAGAAATGCTAGGTGAGGGAGCTACAAGTGCGGTCTCACCTTAGACTGCCACGCCTCAGTTTATCTCTGTCCAGGGCTGTCTGTCTGATGAAACTGAAATGAGACATGCAGACGCACGTCCCCCATTGTCTTTGTTAAACACCGTAGATTTCTTTAGTCCAACTAACATCTTTAACGAACGTGTGTCAAATATTTGGTCTCACTGATCTTAAATACAACCGCAGTAAAAACAGGAAAGATGAGGCAGAACAGTACCGTGCTGTGCCAGAGGGGGCAGATATGAGGCCATAATTTATTTGTTAATTTATGTCTCACATTTTTGCCAGAGGCCAGTAACGCTCTTTTCAAACTGCTGCAATAATGCTAGAAGAAATTAACCCAGGATGGTAATAAACTGATAATGTAATAATAAACTCATAATAAACTAATGTGATATTAAAAACCGAATAAATTGGAAAATGATAGGCTTTGACTCTTAAACTGAGATTAAGACCATAAATGATTTTCTCTTTTAAACCAAATAAGAAACAATAACAATAAATGCATCTTAAAATAATGTAACACAAATAACAATAGAAAAGGTTCAATAAGATACCATTGATAAGGTTCCTGGTTAAACTTCCTGTTTCGCATTTTCAAGTTTTCTTCACCATCTTCTTCAGACAGATGGGCTTCTTCTTGAACTACAACATCCTGCCTTTGCCTTGCAGCAAAAGGTTCACTGATTTTTCCTTGGTGTTTCTGTTTGGACTTTGAATTGTCTCCCTGTTGGCTGAATGTTCTTTTCTACTGCTTCTCCTGCAGTGTGGAAACATGCAGGATAAGCAGCTCCAGCTCCCTCCACTTCCCTCTATGTTCAGTATGAGTAGTAGATGAATGGACACCTTCCTAATTTTATTTCTAATTTTGATCTACTTTTAGCTAACTTTGCTTGAACTATTTCTTTATATATCTTTTTGAATAGCATTAAATAATTAAACATGAATGTTTAGGTTATTGTTTATGTATTCTGAGTTTTAGTTAACATTTGGCTCTATCCAATGGTAAATACTAATTTAGCAGTTGACCAAATGTGATCTATTACGCTATACAAACTGTCAATTCCATAAAAAAACGATTTTCTCAATCTCTATTCATTTCCTTTCTTCTTCATCAAACCTCTCATTACTTTCTGACCCCCATGATTTAATTAAGTGTGGAGGTAAATGGAGCCTTGACCCACGTCTCCCGTGGGAACTCGTTTGTTTGACGCCTAGAACATCAAGCTGTCACGTGTGAGTGAAGCACAGAGACATAAATCTCATGATGGTCGGTACGCAAAGTACACGGATGGAGCGCACATGGAGGTGCATGTGACCCACTTGTGGGTCACCCTGCTGGAGTGTATTAGTTACACTTGAGTGCGTTTGGACATTTTTGTTGTATTTTTGTCTGGCATGTCCTCAGACAAGAGAGTGTTTTGTTTGGTTTTTTTATATATATAAAGAAGAGACAGAAACCTATGTTTTTGTTTTTCAAGGTATGGACCATTTTTATGGTCATGTTATGCTTGGATGTTTTTTTAGCACTAACATTAGAGGGTGTTATAGAGTCATTTTGGGCCATGACTTAAAATAATTAAGTTTACTGAAATTTAATTTTTGAATTTCCCTTTACGGGTCGCAACAGTGGTTAATCTGCCTCCTTCTCCCCTGCCTCCTCTTCTTTTACTCCATCTATCTCCATTAACCATCCCTCTGGTCTGCTCATTTCTAATCCTGTCCATCCTGGTCACTCCCAGTGAAGACCTCGGAATCTTCATCTCCTCCACCTCCAACTCAGCCTTTTGTCTCTAACCCATATATCACAGCATGTCTCACTACTGCCTTATAAACCTGACCTTCCAACTTGGCTGCTATTCTCCTGTCATATCACCCCTGTCCATGTCCCTGGATGTTTGGTCCGTATCCAGCTTTATCCAGCTCTAATCATGTATGGTATCACAGTTGAAGTTTACTACCAGTTGTACTACTTCATTGTACAGCGTGGCCTTGGTTGATAAATAAGCTGAAAACTTCATATACTGGTCCTAGCTGAACAGAGTAGGTCTGTGCTGCTGCATTTCACTGCTATACTAGTACTACACCATACAGTGTGGAGAATCAGAACAGCAGATGAGCCACCTTAAAAATGAAAAGCTGAAAGTTACACAGTATTGCAAATAGGAAAGGTGTGACACGAAGTGTCTGGTCCAGTTGGTTTATTTAGCTCGTCTGCTCGTTAGCCAATCAGGGTGGAGTCACGTCTGCTAGCGTCTTGAACATTTTACAATAACAAAGTAAATACAAATATCGATGCTGTATACATTTTCACAGTTCTTTCCACTTTTTAACACTTGTCCTGTTCCCTCAGCTCCACAGAGCCTCCTCCTCCATCAGCATCATCCGTGTCTGACTTCTGATGCTGCTTTAACGACTTCCTGCTAGTCACTAGTGGGGTTGACAACGTGCAACCGCAGGCAGAGGGCGCCACTGAGATTAATGATCCTGAAAGATGGAAAACCTCCAGATTCATTGCATGAGCGACTCTGTTTCAGTGTAAAAAGGAAAAGGAATTAAGGAGTTCCTGCGAACTGACTTCAAGTCGATTTGGAGTCCTCCTCTGGATGATCACGTGGTAGAAGTATGTCATCTAGTGGTAAGATGGGAGCATCATTTGGATGGTTAAAGATGCACATTCAAACGATTTACTGTGGTGTAAATATTTCTCCTGTGATGTCAAAGAATAAGTAAATATAAATGTTTGGCAGCATGTCGGCCACATCATGTCTGCATTAGATTAATCAAGTGTTCAACGCTGTCAGGTGTGTGCGTTTGTGTCACTACCAGGTTCCTAGTTTTCTTTTTCTTTTATAATAAGAACTAACCTTAAAACATGTTTGTATATGGGGTAAATATAAAAATGTCACTGGATACTAAAAAAAACGAGTTGATTTTATCCATTTTGTTGCTCTAAAAGAACAGCACCTAAAAAAAAAGATGAAATTCAGGTTATGTGCATCCACTGCATCCTTCAATGCAACAATCTGAACAATAGTACAACGCTGATGGAGAAAACCATAACTGTGACGATATGTTTTGTAGACTGAGAGTGATATACCTTGTGTTAGGAAGTCCAGCAGTTGTGAAAGTAAAAGTATTTTACTTTTGTATTGTATTTATTTATGATTGACATATGCTTTTTCTTCTGATTATTTCGACTGTGTTTATGTAGCACAGATGCTTAATTCGAAGATTATGATTATAACATTTGTTTTAACTTTTAAAAAGTATTATTTATTAGTATTTGTAGTTTTAATATAATTTACTGCAAAATGAGGATGCATTGCTATCTTTGGTAAGATCAGAAACCGGTGTCACTATTTTGGGGTCAGAGGGCTGTACAACAATAAAAATAAAATATATATGTTTTTGCTAAACAAACAATTGTAATTTCCATGTCATTTCACTGTTTCTAATGTTATCTATAGTAATGTGTAAACATGCTTGATTATGTCAAGGAACTAGTCATAAGGTCAAAGGAGACTCTGAAGTGTCAGCCATATTTATTAATTGAGTTTTACAGTAGCCAGCAGAGGTGGGATCAAGTCATTGTCTTTGCAAGTCACTAGTAAGCCTCAAGTCAAGTCTTTTTAACCATAGAGTAATGATATATATTACTTAAATGAAATAAACTATTTGATGTACCTGGCTGTCTATGAGCGGTCAACGAGTGCAGTCCATAGCAATGATAGGTGACTTCGTGGATAAGGCAGTAGCTGTGGAGTGGTGTGTCAATCAAACTGCTGACTCGTAGCAATCACTCACACTTGAGCGTCTGAAATAGTAGAGCGCGCAGTTGTTTCGATACTGTGAAAGAACCCACGGTCAGTGTGCCGAAAAAAAGGAGATGCCACCTTTTGCCTGAGACCGGTGGGTGGCGATTCTGAACCGGCATTCTGTGTAAAAAAAAACGGCTGTTCTGTCGGGCATGGTCGTGAATCTGATGGGAAACGACACGATGCACGTGAGTCTCACACACAACAGAAAACATCCACAAGTGTGCGGTATTTTTCTGCAAATCAAATGACACTGAGTTAAAATTTAATTTTAGAACATTTTGTTGCTTTTCTGCTACCAATGTGTTTCAGAAACGTGCTAATCATAGTGCTGAGAAAGTGTTGGCCTGCCCCCTGCTGGATTATGATGCAAAATGTATTTTCATGTTTTGGTCACAGATGGCCTGTTGGTTTTACAGAGACTTGTTTACATTGGAATTGTTGAACTTGACATCAGGTCATATTTAGCTGTGCCTTATCTGTTTCATCTATGATAAATGTGGAAGAATTAAGATGATGCATCAATCAATATGTTACATTGCAACATGTGTGTACCTTTCAGGTTTAGGTCATGTCTTGGGTACTATAGAGTTTTGTGGAGGTAAAAGGCATTTGCTTTTATTTTGCTTTGTTTTACTCAGCTGTCTTTGGCTACATTGCAAATGAGAATATGTTTCTAATTACCTTATCAGGATGGATAAAGGTTAAAATAATAATATATTACCGCAATTGCAAACTACCTATTTTGTGAAATCTGACCCTGATGTTTTTTAAAAACATGTATTTAATGATTTTGTTTTAACAAATCACATCAAAGTGCATTTTGACAAAGAATAGTACTGTATGGTGAATGACTGAAATTTGACAAAATGTTGGTTTTGATCACATGGTGCTTTGGCCCAGACGCAGAGCCGTTATGTGTCAGCACACATAACGGACAACTGGACAATAAATTTCCATGTCCAGTTGCCTAACGGAACTCCTTAAACATGACCATGACCTGGATTACTGAGAATCTTTATAGGAAGACAACTTTAAAAATCCATGTGTTTCAAAATCCTTCTGAGCGTATGCATCAGTGATGTACGTTCAGGTTCATGGCTGGTGAAACACTCCTGACTCCTCTAGAGTCAGATTTACAATTTTTAGTCATTTTTGAGAAACTTTTATTTCCAGAGATTTGTTCAGAAACTTATTGATATAGTATTTCACTGTGATCGAACGTTGGTGTACCAAAAAAGTATATTTTTTTCTGAATTTTAACCACAAAAATGGACACAGCTAAGTATTTTAAGGCAAATCAATGTATTTTCAGTCATTTTTTAGGAACTTATTTTCTGGGATTTGTTCAGGAACTTCTTGGTATAGTATTTTACTGTGATCAAAAGTTGGTGTACCAAAAAAAGTATATTGTTATTTTAGTTTTAAACACAAAATATTCACTTGGCAGCATATTTTAGGATATAATCTTGCATTTTAGTGCATTTCGGGGACATTTTATTTTTATGGATTTTTTCACGATGGTAAGGCTATAGTAAGGCATGTTTTGGGTGATTTTTGAAATATTCATATAAAATACTTTTTGGACTTTTAAACACAAAATATTCGCTTGGCAGCATGTTTTAGGACATAATCTTGCATTTTAAGGCATTTCGGGGACTTTTTATTTTTTTGACTTTTTCACGATGGTAATAAAGGCATGTTTAAGGTGATTTTTGAAA